GTTTCTTTCCCCTCCCCTCCTGCTCTGCTCTGCTCTCTCTCCCTATGCTTCTATATGCCTCCATTACACATTACTAACTTTGTGTCTCCTCTCTCCCGTAGTGTGTCCTCTCTCTCTCCCTGTACCTTTCTGCAGGTTGCCCTGGCCCTGGAGCTCTATGTCTCTGACGAGCAGTCACCAGCCACACCGACCTGATCAGTGTTTGATTGTTGTGTCTTGTTGCTTTTCTTCTTTTGTCTCTCCTCTATCCACTCACCCCAACCGGTTGAGGCAGAAGGCCGCCCACCAAGAGCCGGGGTCTGTTGGAGGTTTCTTCCGTTAAAGAGAGTTTTTCCTCCCCACTGTCGCCAAGTGCTTGCTCAAGGGGGATTTGTTGGGTTTTCCCTATGTAATAATATTGATCACAGTAAGGTCTAGACCTTACTTTGTAAAGTGTCCTGAGATGACTTTTGTTGTGATTTGGCGCTATACAAATAAAATTTGATATGATTTTTGGCGTACAGTGACCTGTAGCGCCGCCCAGAGGGGAGGAGTTAAACCAGTTTGTGTCCAGGGTGTGAGGGGTCTGCAGAAATCTTCTTTGCCCTTGACCTGCGAGGCAGACAGGTCCTTCATTAAGCAGCAGGGGGCTCTGATGATTCTGAAGACTGAATTGTCCACTGGAGTCTTTTCCTGTCCTGTTTGGTTGCTGAACTGAACCAGACAGTGATGGATGAGCAGTGATTCCTCTGTAGAACAGCATCAGCAGCTCCTGGGCCAGGTTGAACTTTTGAGCTGGCACAGAAAGTGCATCCTCTGCTGTGCCTAATCGGTGATGGCACTGATGTTGACTGATCTAAAATAATAATGATGTAATTGGTGTCTGGACTTAATTCACTGCTACCATTGAATGTTGATATTGTTCACTATGAAGTCTGTGTGCAGTACGTCATCAGGGTGGTATCTGCTTTTACGATTCACCTTGTACTGGCCGAGTTTCAACACAGGGGGCAATAGACTTTCTCAAATAAAGATGTGCACCCTATGTCTTAAGAATGACATAATGTGTGCAATGTGTGAAAGATCAAAATAATAGTAGTGTGTTACCGCTGTTGACAATCTAATTTGGCCTGTCATTTATGTCTCTGTTAGGGTTCCAGCAGAACAAAAGACACTCTGCTCAGCCTGTAAGTATCTGTACAGTCATCTACCCTCCTTTATCTATTATCTGATACTTATGTTATTGTGCTTTCCCCTGACTGTCAGTAAAAGCTGCCCACTGTATTTTTTTTAAGAACAGCCTGAAGCACATGAACAGAATTTATGAATTTATCTGCAAACACACACCAAAAACCACATGGACCTATGAAAATACTATAAGTATAATGCAGTGAGTGAACAACACTTCACATGTCTACACTGCAGACACCACATTACACCAGCTACACTCGCTTCAGTGCCCTGAAGCAAAACAGATCTGTGAGCCTCTACTGCTTTTCTGTGCTGCATTGAACATATCCCACCCTGTCGCCTTGAAGTAGGCTATCCATCAAATAGAGTTCACACAGAAGGCCGCTTCTGTCACGTCATTATCATTTGCCTAGAGAAACCAGCCAGAGCCCTGTGATCTGGACTTGCATTTCAGTAAGCCTAAACACAAATTTATTTCGAAATGTGCAGCAGGCATGCACAATATTTACTAATGGTCCTACTCTACTACCATGTTGGGTCTTAGCATTATAATGCAGGAGCCATTTTATAAGGCCTTTCATAAGATAGTATTGTGTTTCAGAAATGCTAATCCCAAACATATTAGCCATCACACTTACCGCTTTTGTGTATGACATATAGGCTACATGACATACTTGCAAAGATTTATACCACAGCACAGATATCCTAGCCAAAGAATCAACAATATGGGCCGTGACTAAGCCATATTGTATGATGACAACAAATACAAAAACCCACAATGTACAGTACTATACTTTAAGTGCAGTTTTTAAGTATGTAGGTACGTTTTTGTAGGTTAGGTCTACAGAATGGTGCCACCTGTCACAGGGCCCCGAAAACTTAAGATGGTCAAAATATCATTTAGCATGAATACCAGACTTCCACTGGAATGCTCACCCATCTTTTGGCATAGTTAGTTTACTAGTTTAATCTATAACAATGACTCCTGTTCTATGGTCTGGTCATATTTTTGTGGATATTCAAACTAACTAAAGATTTTAGATAAAATGTTTAAAAAAAAAAGTAGTAGTTCATCCTGAAATGTGGTTGAGAATAAGGATATTTGTCTAAACCTGCTTAGTTACTTTGGCTCTTGGGGGCCATGTGGGCCTGGTGGCTTTGTCCCATTGTGATCATTTTCTTATTATTCCCATTTGAACATGGTTTGTTTGTCCTCTGCACTGTGGAGATTTTTAAGAACGCTAGTTGCACTTTCAGGTATTTTTAGATTTCCGTTTAATGAAACAGCAGACGCTCAGTCAACCTGGATTGCGTCGCCCCTCCCTCATCCTCCTCTCCCGTCGCATCCTGTGCTCGCATCCCTCCTCGTCCTCCGCCCTGCTCCTCCACCTTCGGATCTTGTTTTCCTCTTTCTCACGGTGGCAGCGGTGTGTGCTCTATTACTTACTTTTGTTTTTCTTCTGGGGACTCTCGAGGTCAAGACAGACATCAAGACCTTTAAATGACATCATGCAACAACAACCGGTGATTTAACACGACTCCTCTCTGCGCCGCCCAGTCGTCCACCAGCTGCTTCTCCACCGCCGCACCTCACCGAGTCCTCCTCAGGGAAAGCTGCCGTCACCTGCCGACGCGTCCTCGCACCATATGACCGTCTCGAAGGTGAGCTCACTTCAGTCTAAACTCCTGGTCGTCTGTCATCTTGCAGACGTGTTTGTGGCGCTGCACGATGAGCGGCTCGTCCTGTGAGAGTTTGGTTTGGTTTGGTTTGGTTTGGTTTGGTTGGGGCTGGACACTTGCAGCGTGGCTTTGAACTGTAGCTCTGCCACGCGGCTTCACAGCCTCCTCTGACCGGGCACGGAAACTCTACTCAGCTCAGCTCCGGTGTTTTAAGCTGGAGGCATCTAAACAGGTTTATTTGCTCGCGGTAAAGTGGATGTTAATGTCACGCCACACAGACCGCGGGTTTCCCTCATACAGACAGACTGCATGTGGGATGAGCTGATGCAGGAGTACACAGCTGTAAAAGTGAATTTAAACTAATCTAACGATTAATTGCTTTAAAATCTAAGAAGAGATACAAAAATATTGAATCTGTAAATAACCTATGGTTTGTTTAGTATGTTCTCCACATAATGTTTAGATGTAGTTCACAGCAGTATATAAACATTTTCAGTTGAATGACAACAGAGTGCTGCAATTATGAGGCGATTTATAATTGATTTGCTGACTATTGATAAAAAGAAAATGAATTCTCATAACTGATTAATGATTTGGGCCATTTGTCAAGAAGAAGAGCTGGTTCCAGCTTCTCAAATGTGAGGATTTTGCTCTACTTTTAATAGTTTTTGAAAAATTAATTGACTAACAATTATTTTTTATTCTTTAATATGCCATTTTTTTCCCACAGTTTAATCTTTTTGGATGTAAACTGTTAGGAAAGAGGGAAAACGTTCATTATAATTTCGCACTTCATAATTGCTACTTTGAGTTTTTTTGCACCCTGGGAACCTGTGATGGGCACTTTGCTGCTGCGGTATGCATCCTACAGGCCATGAATCAGAAAACATCAGTGCACTTCAACTTCATGTCTGCAAAAACATCATTATACACATCAGTTTTAAGTAAATGTGTTATTGGGCTCTGTGGGTGGCTGTATTCTGTCTATCCACCAGTTCACCAGATGGTTCAGGTCTATTGTTTTTGCTCATTTTTGTTTTGTTGGACATAAACAAACCTACAACAAAAGAAAAAGCAGTTTGAGAGCTCTGTGTTTAATGGCCTGAGTCTAATGTTCACCACATGTTGAGCAGTGAGAGAAATGTAGGTCTTTGTGCCAGTTGGCTCCTCCACTGTGGACTGGCACATTGCTCTCCCAGGGGCACGAGTTCAGGGCGTGCACTTTGTTTGCACTCGAGCACAATTTAACACTGGGCTAATCAATAATTAATATAGTAACTGTTTATGGACTTTCATATTGTGTCAGGATACCCATATTGTCTTGTGATAATTGTGATTTATTTGGTTTATTTTCTATTTCATGGTATGTATTGATGTTGGAAAATATTCTTGCTTTTATTTTGATATTTATTTCAATATATTCTACAGGGACAGTTAGCTTAGCCTGAAGACTAGAAGCAGGTGGAAACAGCTAACCAGCTCTCTCTGATGTTCAAAAGTCCTCTTACTAACACCTCTCAAGTGACTAATTGAAAGGTTGTATTTCATTTATGGAATATGCGTACAAACAAAATGCCAAAACAAGAATTTGTGGTTTTACATGGGGGTGCATTCCGTATTGGCGAACAGCATCTGGGTGTTGTAACTTGCCAAAGTTAGTTAGTCCATAACTCCCCCCTCACCCAAACCACAAACTACTGTTTTGAGAATTTTTGTTTGTGAACATAATAAATAAACAAGGTACAACATGTTAATCAGCCAGTTTTGGAGCTAGCGGGGTTTGGGACAGAGCTAGCTGTTCCCGCTCTCTTCCAGTCTTTATGCCAAGGCTAAGCTAATAGCCTCCCAGCTCTAGCACCATACCGAGATGCTCTACTACAGCTCATTTACCAGAGCAGCTGATAACCAGTGAGGTCAGTTACTACACCGTTGCTTTGCTTTGGTTTAATGCAAATTTAACAGTCAGAAGTTTAACTAATGATCTGTATGCTGTCATATACTCTTGAGTCCTCCGCTTCTCATTCACAAACATGAATAGTTTGACTATACGAGGCAGTAATGTGCCGAGTTTACAGTATGAACCAGTGTGACACCATGAGCTGTGACTTTTGGCGTTGTGTGCAGTGTGGATCTGTCTAAGTAGGTCTGGACTTGACCTAATGGGCAAACTCCTGCCAAAACAACCATTAGACTAATGAATTTGCAACACACAGGAAGCCGAATGTAAACTGGGGTGAAGACACATCTTGACAATCTCAGATTTTTTTTTTTAATGATGCATCTGTGGTATTTACTCATGTATTGTGCACTTTCATGTTGGGCCATAAAACACTATCATCTCTGGCATGTTATCACACACACTGTTAACACATACTTGAGATTCTTCCATCTTGTCCAACCTGTGACTTGTGCAGTTTGCTATGTAGATGGAAATTCAGTTCTTCAGAATCTCGGAAGAGACTCTATTGTTTCTCTGTGGAGTGTTTTTCTGTGTGTGTGTGTGAGAAATGACAGATATGTTTTTCTCCATTTATCCTCTGATATATCACCCCATCCGTCCATTTTCCTCTGCTTATCCGGAACCGGGTTGCGGGGGCAGCAGTCTAGGCACCCCATCGCCTGTCAAAACAGTAACTAGAGCTCGGTTTAGGTTTATAGGATAATACATAGACTTGCTGCTGGTTACAGGTAGTGTATTGACAACTGTGAATTGAAGGTATGTTTCTTACCAATAATGGCCTCCAGGGCCTAGAACCTCCCTTCAGGAAATATGGTGATGTTGTGCTATAAAGTAATGGCAAGATGAGGTATAATAGGTATATTAGTAGTATTTACTTTAAAGAGCCCATGGTGTGCTCATTTCCAGCCATTTCATTTTTAATCTAGTTTGCACCCATTGTAACTCCAAATAGTCTAGCTCAGAGTAGTGTTGTGCCTATGTACAGCTTCACAGAGCTCCTACCATGGCTGTAGATTTTAATTTGCAACAATACAAACCCAACAGAAGACAATTCTCAGATTTGAGCAGCTGGAACCAACAAATTGGTTAACTAAATGTGTCAGCAAATGTCTGTACTTGCCTTCTAGCAGCATGTGTGTCATGTGTTCCTCTTCTGCTGGATTAGATCACTGATTTAGTAACAAGCTAGAAACAAAAGTTGAGTAAGATCCTCCCACGTGTCCTATGTTGCTTCACTACCAGAGACCAGACACTGGGGCTTGAGGCGACGGTGGAGAACCTGAGGATGCCTCATACATGACTATACCTCTAGAACAAAGGGCCTTAAGTCTCTAACCCCTCCAGCACCACCTCTCCCCTCATGGTTCACTCCTCACTAAACTTGATGAAGACCCGCCTCCTTGCCCAGAGATGAGTTCATGGAGATTGTGCCCCGTCACATTTAATCCCATTGTTCTCACACTGACATTGAATTTTTTGATACTGCCAGACTGTCTCTTCCAGGAGTCTTAGACAGATGGTATAATTTAGAAACCTGATAAATAATGCTCTTTTTTTGTTGAGTTAAAAGTTGATTAATGGACTAATTACTTATTCCAGAAAATAGTAAAAAATGCTCATCACAATTCCTCAAGCTCAAGGTGACATCTTTAAGGTGCTGATTTGTCTGACCAACAGTTAAAACTGAATAATATTCAACTGACAATGGTATAAAACTTAGAAAAGTAGCAAATCAAAGCTTTTGACATATTTATTAAAGTAGTTTATCATTAAGCCTTTTTTGCAGCTTGATAAATTTCTGATCCACATTTTATTCTCTACACTTTACTGCAGATGTGTGAGGAAATGGTTGACGTGATAACTGATTCATCATCGACACCCTCTAATCAAGTGGGCAGGTGTTTCAGTCACTTGTCAGTCGCGTTGTAATCAAATCTAATTACATGTTTTCAGAATGATTTTATAAAAATATATTTGTGGATTACTTTTTGTTTGTGGTTCTTGATGCACTCAGGCCAGACTACCATACTGATTCTGTGGTGTTCAAGTGCACAGGCTTCAGGAAGCAATCTGCTGTTTCAGGCGATTACTGTACTTGTCCTGACAATGGCTTGGAATCCTAAAATGCTCTTATGTAACCTGAATGTGTGCACGTGAAATCAGAACCTCTCACCAGAACCCACCATTCATTGCATAATGGCTGCAAACAGTCATTTAAAAAGACCTGATTTATGTCTGTTCTGTGATTCTTGTCCTTTTACATCACTGTGTCTCAGATCACTCATGACAGAGTGTCCTGCGTGTTTCTGATATGACAGCTGTCTGACTGACTGAGGTTTATCATCTGGTGTTGCTCCCATGTGAGTCACACAGAGCAGAGAGAGGATTACTTAAAAAATGTGAAAGAAAGAGAGAGAATGTGGATTTGTGCAGCGTCAAGCTCCCAGTGCTATTTGAAAAGTGTTGTTTTGTTTTTGAGGGGACACTGTGAAGGGCACAGGGAAGATCAGTGCTTCATTCTGGGTACTGAGTGAATCAAACTTCCTAAAATCTGACACTGCAGTTTAGCCCTGAATGTGTTTCTGCCTCTCATGTCTTACCATTACATGCAAGTCAGGGTATCACTGTGTCTGTGACAGTGAAGCCATAGCATGAATCACATAATTTTCATACTCGACAAACCATTCAGTGACCCCTCGCACCCTATAGATGGGGATGTTTTCATCTTGGAAGAGACCACTCATTTATTCAGTTTATTCTTTTATTTTGTCAGCCGTGTTGCAGAGCACTCACACTCTTCTCTCAGTCTGGCTAAAAAAGAAATTCTGTGAGCTGCATGATTTTAGCATGAAAATATAGTCAATATAGATAAATTGGACTCATGATACAATTTGTATTTTTGGTTCCCACTGTACAAACCAAGTCAATGTTTGTCTTTTGTGGCTACATCTTTATTTTTTCATCCACATGGTTATAGGAGTTAAAATATTCTGGTAATGGTTTCTTAACAGGCCTCTGTGTG